AAAATGTGCATTGTTTTTTTACGTAAAACCATAACGGAATAGTTCCATGGTAACATGAAACAGCATTATTTTGTGTAAAATTTAGACAAAAAAATAATCACAATAGAAAACAATTACATAGAACACAATGTTTTCAATTTTTTTTTTGCCTGTGTTACCAGGCAACAAATCCAGATATGGCATAATATCTGGCATACATCAATAGTGAAAACAGTATAATATTATCAAAATGGCCGCCATTCCCTAAAAAGAAGCATTTTTTATTTCGAAAAATATACGCTCTTCTTATATCCTCGAGTGAGAGGATAATTTATTGCAAAATGAATACATTCTGAATATTTTATTTCTTAAACGAAAACAGCAAATTTTCGTCGTAATGAATAAACAAAACACAGAGACAGACATGACTTCATTAACATGATTGCAAAACAAGACACATTTTGTATTGTAAAACATAGACAGTTCGACCCCGCAGCTTGAAAGTCACGTGATCACTTTAAAATCGGAATATACTCGCTGTGGAGAATTGAGACACATCATTACGCAACACGAGGCCCTCTTGGCTAAGCTACTCGATAATCCAGTAAATCTACCATTTACTAATACGTCAATGTCTGCACTCCATCCCCGGAGACAACGGATCAGTATTTGTAATTCAATAGAATTATACTAGCCCACTTCCAAGAACTGTGCTTGCCCGATTATATAGCATAGATTTTAAAATTTACAGCAACCAATAAGATTATTTCATCCAACAGTTCTAATTAAACATTATGTCATATTTAACTACTGTTTGACAGTGTAGACATTTTGCAATTTATAATCTAGTATTTGACTACTCCAAGTTGGTCTTTAGTCAACAATTTCCAAATCAATTGACATTTCTTGCGATTTGCACTTTCTCATGTTTGTTTTTGCAGGGCTGTGTAAACCTATATAAAGTGGCATTACCAGGGGCTTGGAACTAGCGACTGCTTTATCATCCACGCACATTAAGACGAATTATGACGAATGACTTACATAAGCGAGATTTAAGGTAAAAAAATAATACACTTGACTGACTTGATAGGATTAATGTACATTACAGTGACTGGGTTACGTCATCGGATTTAATTATGCATGCACGAATGTACATCATGTTGTCAATCATCCTGTGACGCGGTTACCCGAACAATTAAAATGAATTGGAGCGAATATTTTGCTAAATTACCATCTACAATTTGTATTCATTTTCGGAATGGTAATACAAAACTGCTTGCTACAGACATCGATGCTAAAATAGTCTTGATGCCTATGCTATGTCTATCTTAGTGCCAGTAGTGCACCGACGTGCATACAACGATCTAATCAAATCTCTTGATCGTTGAACAATCGGCGCCTGTGATATTTGGTTCACATGGCAATGTAGGCGTGTTTTTTCGGCTTACATGTACGGCGAAGTTATTTAGCTAGTACTAGCAAGTAGTTTCGAATGTATACGTGTTTATTGAATCATAGACTCTATAAGAGGGATATGAAACTGTGCTTATGATAATGGGTGTTCACGATCTTATATTCCACGTGACTTACTTGTTTTATTGAAAATCACTCAAGTCAAAAAAAAAAAAAACGATGAGCAAAGATTATTCACTTACACAGATCACGAATCAATGGTTTATATGATACACTATGAGATGGTTGAGACATCCGTTTTTTTATTAAAGAAAGGAGACTACAAATCGCTACTTTTCCAACATTTACACAATTTTGATTTCTGAAAATTTTACCTTATTACACATATTCATATTCAATTCTGCCGGACGAGTGAGGCTTATCGATTGCCTTGACATTTGAGCAGATTTCACAAAATGAGCCGCCACGAATATATGAATGGCAGTTTGCGCTTTGCATTGTCAAATATACAGTCAAAATGGCGCGGTCGTGTGCTCACCGGAAGTTCGAAATGATATGTTAATTATGTTGCGTCATCATAATGAGTAACTCTATGAGAAGTACTAACACAGGAAAAGAGGGATAAGAACTTTGAATACTTTGTGTTTTAATTCGCCTGCAGGTATTGGTAGATTCACGGCGCATGCGCATTTGCGACTTTCAATATTTCATATTTTCTGATGATTTGTATTGTACTGTATCATCAACTTCAAAGACAACAATTTCATCATACTCAACAATACACAAACTTTTCCCCATTTACATTTTTCACGATGTTTTGCTTGAATGAATGTGATATTTCTAACATTATTTGTATGCAGTGTAGGCTGTGGATATATCGTCTCACCTTCAAACGTTCTGTTCCACATCTTCGCAGTGATTGTCTTACCATCACGCGGACTACCACCTTCCTCCAGTGTCTCGTTCAACGCTAGGGCATACAGAATAACAGCGTCATGGAATGCTCCGACAAAACTGTTCACCTGTTTGTATATATACCAATATTAAGTATTCAGGAAGTTATACCATCCGTGATTGGACCCAAATTATGCGTGCATATAATTAACTTACAGATTGTTGCATCAGTGCGTATGAGTATGTGCCGTCATTTATATTAAAATCAAGAATTACAGTTATCTTGGGATTTAGTAATCTATTCAATATTGACATACAATTAAACTACCTTAACAATTTCGAAACGGCTTGTTATAACCACAAATCACATTTTGTATGACTGGGTTACGCCATTCATTTCATGATTGAGATAGTGAACCTATTATTCCCCAGTGTCCATTTATCCATTTATTTTTTTGCAATTATACTTATGGACAACTGTAGTCAACGGAATTGTTCTTAAAATCGGTTAGTCGGTCGACAACTTTCGTATTGTACCTGCTTACTGGTATACTTTGCATAAATTACCCATCATTCCACATTATCGTCTTAGAAGAATGTTAGTACAAGGACATCATTCATAGTCACGCTTAATTTGATGGACGATTTAATTATGCGATCCGATCTCCTTTTAATTTATATTTGTGACGTGTGCAATTTGTTTATAGTCCAAGTAAGATTGATCTACGTATGATAATTTTTGTCGGTTACAGAGTAAAGTCGCAACAATCACTCCTGTTAAGTACATTTAAAGCGGGAGGGCCGTCACCTGCGCACGCGTGGGAATTGAGTCTCAAGCGACGATAACTACACACGCTAAAAACGCAAAGGCTCATGGGTAGATGCTTGTTTGTAAACAATGCCACGCTATGGCCATCTGACGCATGCACAGGTGATGACTCTCCCGCTTTGACTTGGCACTGAAAGAAAAGGTGATTCATTATTCCAAAGACTACAAAATTTACATATGTATGACGTCATATACTAATTTTCACACTCGTGTATTGAGTGTAATCGGTAAGGGAATACGTTATTGCAAGAAGAGTTTTGACCCTATATTTATATTTTTTCGACTAACTTTTCCCCTATATTTTAAAACCACAATCATAGCTATGCATACCTACCTACAAGGATTTGACTGGCCCGTAGTGCGTTAACGTTGTGGCATCAGAAATGATAGCTACATTTATTTTGGCTCTTGACCTGCTAACAGTTCCACCTGAACTGGTCATACTCGAGGACATGCTAATCTTTTGGGTCGTTATTAGGGTTTCGAGCCCAATTGAGGAGAAACCCTCTTGTAATTGTTCCGTTTATTATTAT